ATTTTTTATTGTAAATAAGATACAATTTTATTTTATTTTTTAATTTAATTTATTTATATATTAGCACTTGGACCTCACGACCTAATGGTTATAAATCGACTTGTAAAGTATATCCTTTAATCCAAGGGTTGGGATTCGATTTCCCCTTCTCTCATAATTGTAGGGCTGGGTCTTTTGTCGCAGGGCCACGGTTCCGCACCAAAACCGCTTGCAAAATTGCAAATGGTTCAGGCCTAGACGATTTCAGGCTTGGACGGTTTCAGGCTGAAGCATACCAGCTTGCGGGTTGAAAACCAAAGCCCAACAGGCGATAGATGGTTGTTGGGCTTTGAAACTGCAAAACCGCCTAGTAGTCCCTTGAAACCGACACCCATTGAATATTTATTTTCAATTGTTTGCCCTTGCCGACTCGACTGTGCCGCTCAACTTTTGGTAAACAGAAAATTCATCACCTCCTACAATTTCGTTCCACTTTTGGAAAACTATATCACCTCCTGAAATTTTGTTCCTCCTTCCAAGATTTTTGCCTTAAAAAATTCTAAGTTACACCTCTTGGAATTTGGTACCTCCTGGAATTTTGTTCCTCCTTCCATTTTTGCTTTTAGTGAACGTGTTCCTTATATGCTTTAACAGTGAAAACTTTATGATTTTTTTATTTTTCTATATGCAACTATTTGGGAATGTTTAATTTTTTTTATATATAAAAGAATTGTTGTTTTACGTTGTATTAATTTTGTTTTGGCCATTTGAAATTGAAAAAATGCAGAATGAAACTCTAATTGGAAAGAAGGATTTAAAATTGAAATAAAGTTACAGATATGCGGGTTAACATCGATCCGAACCGGTAAAATTAGGAAAAAAATCTGATTAAATCGATAACAACTGTTTTATTTTGGTACGGTTTGCGGCTTATTAAAATAAGTAATTAAAAAATTGGTTAATTATGGAAAATAGTTGGTGTGGTCACCGAACCGACCGACGCCCACCCTTACATAATTGTATCCTTGTTTAAAAAAAAAATTATTTATATATTATATGATTCAAAAATTATCATTAATTTAAGAGGGGAAAAGTAGAATAAATTATTGTAATCAATTAAGTTATTTTATTAACTCAAATACTGTTTTTTCAACAAGACAATTTTTTTACAAATATTCTTACATGCTATGGGGATAAGGGAAAAGCATTCTAGGAGAATCAAACATCAAACCCGAGGTGATATTCCCACTAAGGGAAAAATTACAAAACCGGCTCCACGGGGATTGAAAAAAATATAAAGAATATATTAAAAAAATACATAAAAAAATTAAAA